CTGTCAGAGGGGAAAAAATGAAGACAGCGCCAGTACTTTTCGTGGTTGTGCAGAAAGGGGGATTTCAGCAGGTGCTGCGTCTCCCTTGGTTGTGTGATAAGCAACACCTGCTGAAATTCCCTCCTCTAAACTGAATTCTCTCCTATCGCTTAAAAGTATCGGACATTAGACGTGATTGGGACTAACTCACTCTGGTAAACAAATGAGAATGTCCTGAGGAATAAAGCAGCCCAAAACAATCACACAAAGAAACAACCAATTCAAAATCCAGTTAAATCCCCAGCTGGAAAATGTCATGTAATTAAGTGGCAGTGAAATGGTCACATTTATACAAAAGGAACTTATTATTTTATTTATTGCATATTGCAGGCTTCGAATTGTAATTCAACATCTGAATGCAAACACTGGTTTAATGTGGTTTTTTCCTCCCCTGTTGGTAAAAAATGTCCTTGCTAATAACTCAGATTTTTTTTCTATTGCGTCGCTTCTGAGAACTTGAGAATCTGCAAGTCACTTCTGGTGTGAGAGAATTGGGTGTCTGCAGAAATGTTGCCCAGGGGGTGCCCGGTTGTGTTACCAACCTGTGGGAGGCTTCTCTCATGTCCCTGCATGGGAAGCTGGAGCTGACAGATGGGAGCTCACCCCATCTCACAGATTTGAATTGCTGACCTTCAGGTCTGCAGTTCAGCTGGCAGAAGGGTTTAACCCAATGCGCCACCACAGCTCCAATAACTCAGATTAAATTGACTGAGCTAATAAGACTGGATTGACGTGCCCTCTGACATTTCACTGGTGAAAATTGGGGAAACTGGTTGAGCAACATCAAAATGTTGTCAAGAAAGGTAAAGGTTTTCCCCTGACATTAAGTCTCATTGTGTCCCACACTGGGGGTTAGTGATCATCTCCATTTCTAAGCCGAAGAGCCAGGGTTGTCCATAGACAACTTCAAGGTCATGTGGTCGGCATTACTGCATGGAGCGGTGTTACCTTCCCGCAGGGGCAGTACCTATTAATCTATTCACATTTGCATGCTTTCAAACTACTAGGTTGGAAGAAGCAAGGGCTAACAGCAGGAACTCACTCCGATCCCTGGATTCGAACCGCCGATCTTTCGGTCAGCAAGTTCAGCAGCTCAGTCAAGAAGGTAAAAGTTATTAATGAGGAAGGACAAACAAGGTAGGAGAGGCTGCAGCGGTTTGGTTTTGCCTGGGTCTTCTGGGAAGGGCAAATCCCTGCTGCCCCTTCTCTCCTCTCTCCCTACTAGAGTTCATTGTTTGCAAACTATTTTGGAATTTGATCTCAGACTCAAACAACTAAAGAAAACTGAAGAAAAACTGAGACAATGGGAGGATGAGAGGAGAATTGGGCCATTTTAAAAGCAAGTGAAAACTGGGAAAAACATGATTAATTGAAGCCTTGAGTTGCTGTGAATTTTCCAGGCTCTCTACCTGGTGGAGGCTCCTTCTATGGACGCTTTTAAACAGAGTCTGGATGGCTATCTGTTGGGAGTTCTTTGTCCTGCTTCTTGGTAGGGGGTTGGACTGGATGGCCCACAAGCTCTCTTCCAAATGTATGATTTTTTGATTCTATGGCCAGGTTCCAGAAGCATTCTCTCCTGACGTTTCACCCACATCTGTGACAGGCATCCTCAGAGATCGTGAGGTCTGTTGGAGACTAGGCAAGTGAGCTTTATATATCTTTGGAATGTCCATGGTGGGAGAAAGAACTCTTGTCTGTTGGAAGCAAGTGTGAATGTTGCCACCTTGATTAGCATTGAATGGCCTTGCTAAACAGAGCTTTCCTTGCCAAAAGCAACAATTTGTGTAGTGTAATAATATAGCCAAGTGACTCAAGTGTATCAAGTTATTCATTGATTTCACTGGAATTGGTGCTAAAGGGATGGATCCAGGCTAAATCAATGCTATTTAGGTCTCAATGAGATAAAGTGGATTACATTTAGCTCTATTCTTTTGCACGATTTTCAGTGAGAAATGGAAATAACTTTGTCTGGCTCCAAACTCTCTAAAACAACAGCCTTCACATGGAGCCCCCAGTAGCACAATGGGTTATAACCTTGTGCCAGCAGGACGGAAGACCAACAGGTCGGAGGTTCGAATCCGAGGAGAATGTGGATGAGCTCTCTCTGTCAATTCCAACTCCCCACGTGGTGACAAACTAGCTGGCATTACCCCCCCCCCCCCTGATGTGCGATGGGAAGTTGCTGCTAATTGGGAGAAAAGTAAGGTTGAACACTGTGAAAGCCACCCACTGCATGGCTATCAGCCTCCTCCCAGTAGACGCAATCAAGAAAAAGCTTTATGAGAACCACCACTTCTCCCCCCAGCAACAGAAGAGTATCCGTCTGGACAGCTAAACCAGGAAATCCCAACTGGATTGCCCCCCACGAGGGTCTTCCTCCAGGGGCAAACCTAGAATGGGCAACTTGGAAATCCCTGAACGGACTCAGAAGTGGAGTGGTCGGATTAAAAGACAACCTGGCAAAATGGCACTACCTAAAAGAATTCCCCGCCTTGTGTGACTGTGGAGCAGAACAGACAACTCCATATCTTGTCCACTATGCCCTGCCTCATGTACAGAGGAAGAAATGTTGGAGGCTACAGACAATGCCGTTGCTGTTGCCCATTTTTGGTCAAGAGATATTTAGCCGCTTTTGCTCTTTCTATTTTTATCAGTTTTATAATTTATGCAATTCTTTTTATAGGAAATAAATAAATAAATGAGGGGACATGAGAGAAGCCTCCTACAAGGATGGTAAAACATCAAAACATCTGGGCATCCCCGGACAATGTCCTTGCAGACTGCCAATTCTCTCACAGCAGAAGTGACTTGCAGTTTCTCAAGTTGCTCCTGACACACACACAAAAATCCCATTCAATCAGTTTGATGTATTTCTTAAATCAAACGCCCTCCCTTAAAAGATAGGTGACACTTGGGTGCTAATGTTTTGCATTGTGAAGATTTTGCTAACATACCTGGGAAAATTTATAAAGAGAGTATTATGGGAATCTCCTCAGTTCGAAAGATGAGATCATTAATCTGCTGCCTAGTGGGACTGAAATGTGAATACTTTTTTTTTTTGTGAAGCCCCATGCTGTTTGCTGCCGATAGCGTTCTAACACTTCGGTTTATGAGATTCAAAAAAAGACTCTTGTGGAAAAGAGCAACACCCTCATTTACTATTTAGAGAAAGCTGGCCATTGGCGACAACAGAAGTAAACACAGGCATGCTCCCTTCTTTTAAGATTGGAGGCATGGCATGCTTATATTTATAAGAACCCGTCAGTTTTGTGTCTTTCCCTTTGCAATGGCTTTGTGAGGACAGGAGGTTAAAATTAAAAAGTCCCTTTCAGTTTATGCCTTTTATGGCAATTAAAAAGAGATCATGTCAGCCTTTTTCCTCTTCTCTTTTGGCCTTCTTAGGTCTGAACGTTTAGACTGTAGTGTACAGATATAAAGTGGTATTATGGTGAAAGTATTTACACAGCCCACTGAGTTTGGGCAATATTTATAATTACTTGTACTAAACATTCAGTGCCAAACAGATAGTTATGAAAAATTAAGGACATTTTTTGAGAAGAAAACTACATGAATTTTTTGCCACAAGCTTGAGAATGACTGATTTTGATTACACACGCCACACAACACTTCTCCGAATTAATGCTCTGGGAAGAGCTATTTGTGTTTGTTGTGTTGATAACACATCCATTCATCTCTCTTCTATCCATTTACTCTAAATCTTGCAAACTGATGAAGTTTGAAGAAGGGAAATGAAATAATTAAAAAGAAAGGGTGTTCTGAAATGCTATACTGCAGATTGAAACTATGATTTGCTTTTAACATGAAATGTTATGGTTTCTCACCATGGCTTTCCAATGTAGCAAAAGAGGAAGCTGGATCCAAAATCTCAGATATACCAAAGCCAGGAGCTTCCTACTGACATAACCATTTTGATTCTGCAAGCAGTTGCAGTGGCTTGTCAGGAAATAGAATAGATCCTAACTGTTAGAGCTGTTCAGCGGTGGAACTCTCTGCCCCAGAGCAGGCATGTAGCCGGGGGGGGGGGGGGCTTGAGGGGCTTCAGCCCACCCCCCCCAAAATTCTCATGGTGGCTCGCGAAAAGGCCTTACTGGTGCATTATTTAAACTGTTATGTTTCTTCATATCATGATCTGATCACCATACTCAATATATCCCATATGCATGGGGTATTGGGGTAATGATACAAAAGGTTTGCTAGGGTAAACCCTCTTTCACTCAGACTCAGCCCCCCCCTGAAACTCAGCCCCCCGAACCCCCCCCCCGAAAAATTTTTAGTCCCCCCCCCCAAATGAAATCCTGGCTACGGGCCTGCCCTGGAGTGTGGTGGAGGTTCCTTCTTTGGAGGCTTTTAAACAGAGGTTGGATGGCCATCTGTCATTTTCAATATAATTTTCCTGCTTCTTGGCAGGGGATTGGACTGGATGGCCCATGAAGTCTCTTCCAACTCTATAATTCTATAATCTGTTATAGCTCAAACCAAATACAGAGTGTATATTGTGTTTTTACTTTAAAGTAGTGGTTCCCAATCTGTGGTCCATGAACCACCTGTGGTCCACAAGAACTAAAATATGGTCCGTGGCCTCACCATTACTACACCATTGCAACAAGAGTAACAGGTCTTGCAAAACCCTCTTATAGTGCCGAGGCTTGTTAAATATAGTCTACTGTGTGCGATCAGACGGCGACTACTGGGTGGCATATGTTCTGTATCAGAAACTTGGTCTATCCAATGCAATTTTCTGAATCAGCACCCCAAATAACCAAACTGAATCTAAAGTTGACCAAAAACTGATTTGTAACCCTTTTGGTACTAATGTTGGAGAATGGTGGTCCTTGGTCAAGTGGTCCCTGATCAAAAAAAGGTTGGGCACCATTGCTCTAAAGAAAGAGCATTCCGTTCAGATCCAGACCTGGACTATTCACACGTATGGGAGAGGTTGATTTATTTTCAGTCCTCTGGATTTATTAAGCCTATCCCAAGGGTCAACAAAGGTGAAGGAAATCTTCAATGGGTGCCAATGGCATGTGTCCCTCTTTTGAAAACTGCATCAGGAGGTCAAGTGTTGTTACCACCTATGGAGAGATGAGGTCACAAAAAGTCTATTGTTCTTTTACTGCACAACGTTGTGCACTACTGATTACACATTATGCTGCTTTTATGCAATCACAATCTCTTTACATTCAGATTGACTGTCTATTAATGAGCATTCAGACCTTATGGCCCAAGAGGTTATCCAATGAAAACGTCAAGAGCTTCTGGATGAAGAATTTCTTCTTCACTCATAATGTAATACCTTGTACTTCTCATGTCATGTGTTGTGGTCACGGTCAACAGAAGAAGTAGCTTTACATGGACATAGACAAATCAGAGAGAACTACACAAATTCATGGGCAAGATCTATCAACAAATATTACCCATAATCGCTAAGTGTAACCTCCAGGTTCAGATCTTGGATGCCGCTCAAAATTATAATCATGTGAAGGGGACCAAGAATGGAAAAGCACTCAGTTTTGCTGTTAGATTCCCATAGTCACCTAGTTTGCTTCTGTAGGAAGGAAACAGGACTAGATATGGTCTACTCTTCCGGGGCTCTTATCACATTCTTAATCCAGTAAATCCCAACTGAATTTCACAGACATCAATTTGTTTAAATGCCAGATCTCCTATAGTAAAGGTAAAGGTTTTCCCCTGACATTAAATCTAGTTGTGTCCAACTCTGGGGGGTGGTTCTCATCTCCATTCCTAAGCCGAAGAGCTGGTGTTGTCTGTAGACACCTCCAAGGTCATGTGGACAGCATGACTACATGGAGTACTGTTATCTTCCTGCCAAGGCGGTATCGACTCACATTTGCATGTTTTCGACCAACTAGGTTGGCAGAAGCTGGGGTTAACAGCGGAAGCTCCCCATGCTCCCCAGATTCAAACTGTCAAGCTTTTGGTCAGCAAATTCAGCAGTTCAGTGGTTTAACCCACTGCGCCACTGGGGGCTCCCATAAAAATAATCTGTAAAAATGCATTAATAGGTGATATTTCTTATGTTCCAGGGATGAATCTTTGCATTGTAAACAAGTTCTAGGGTTAAGCTCAAAGGATATTTTGGGCTGCACTAGGTCACTGTTCAATCCTGACATGTCAATAGAACAAGGTACAAAACTCTGCCACGTTAGAAAATATCACGTTGACTGGGCTCCAGTGATATGCCTCATTGTCTTTTTTTTCCCCAGGCCGCCAAATGGCTTATATCACTGAGGTTTCTGTCTGGAGAGAAAACTGTGTTGCTGAACTGCGATGCAAGTGAGAGATGCTTTCTGATTCGTTTCGGGAAATCGAAGAGCTATGAAGTCTGTAATCTCGGCCCATTCTTTGGTTCAAGCACCAGCTCCGCCATTTTCTCTTCACTTCGCCTTGTACCTAAACATTAAAAAAGCAATTAAGTATGCAGTAGTAGCATTTTGTGTATACCATGGTGAGAGAAACAAGAAACCCAAAGATGTTAACAATATCTGGTGGATGAATGTATCAGTGGGGATATGTGTGTATAATCCATTCTCAAAATCTAGATAGTGGAATAAAAACACTTATCACGCCTTGACTTAAAGAGCCATAGGTGGTGCAATGGGTTAAACCCTTGTGCCAGCAGGACTGAAGACCGACAGGTTGGAAGTTCAAATCCGGGGAGAGCACGGATGAGCTCCCTCTGTCAGCTCCAGCTCCCAATGCAGGGACATGAGAGAAGCCTCCCACAAGCATGGTAAAACATCAAAAACATCTGGACATCCCCTGGGCAACGTCCTTGCAGATGGCCAATTCTCTCACACCAGAAGCGACTTGCAGTTTCTCAAGTTGCTCCTAACACAAAAAAACTCTTGACTGGTTGGTTACGATTGCCTATTACTTTTCCTGAAACATCAGAGAACGGGATTATATTGAGTATAGGCGCTGCAGGTATTGGATCATCTGGATTTGAAGCAATGAGGGATGAACTATCTTGTAGGCTTGTGCACGGATTCGGTTTGGTCAGTTCCCTTCGGCGAATCTGGCTTGTTTGGCTGGTCGTAATGGTAAGGGCTCAGTCGCCAAGTTTTTCCTGCCTAAAATGGCCCATGTGGCTGCCGGGTGTGGATTCTTCCTTTCTATTCAGGAGCACGTGGTGCATGCTTCCTTAACCCTGCTGTTCAAACCCAGGCTCCCTTGAAAGGAAGAAAGGAAAGGAATCCAGGAAGTTTGCTTCCTTAACCCTCTTGCTCAAACCCCAACTCCCTTGAAAGGATGAAAGGAAAGGGCCACAGGAACATAAAGGGGAGCCTCGTAAGTTCTCCATTCCCGCCAATGGGCCAGATATTCTGGATCTTTTGGCTGCCTAGCCGAAAACAGATTTTTCCATTAGCCAATTTTCAGGAGGCTCCCGAAAGCTGATCTGGGTACACAACAAAATTCAGATACCAAAAATGGATCTCTCTCCAGCCAAATTGCACAAGACTACTATCTCGCCTAAGGCTTTTCCAAGCCACTTATGTAATCTGCCCCTCATTACCAACAACTCAAAGAAGGAATCAAAATTGCCTATTCAGCAAATTGATGAAGAGCTCCTCATAGTCCCAACTGAAATGACTCTTCACCTCTACTTCAAGAAGCCCTAGGCTGGATCTTGGATCTTCCACATACAGTTTGAGTATTTCTCTTGTCCAAAATGCTTAGGACAGGAATATTTTGGAATTCTTGCATGCACATAATGCACATCTTGAAGATGGGACCCAAGTCTAAACATGAAATTCATTTATATTTCATATATACCTTCTAACACATAGCCTGAAGGCATTTTATTCACTGTGTTTTAAATAATTTTGGGCATGAAACAAAATTTGTGTATACTGAACTATCATGACAAACTGGAATGTGTCCAGAGGAGAGCAACTAAAATGATCAAGGGTCTGGAGAACAAGCCCTATGAGGAGCAGCTTAAAGAGCTGTACATATTTAGCCTTCAGAAGAGAAGGCTGAGAGGAGACATGATGAGGGCCATGTATGAATATGTGAGGAGAAACCATTAGGAGGAGGGAGCAAGCTTGTTTCTGTTGCCCTGGAGACTAGGACACAGAAGAATCGCTTCAAACTGCAGGAAAGGAGATTCCACCTGAACATGTGGAAGAACTTCCTGACTATGAGAGCTGTTCAAGAGTGGAACTCTCTGCCCAGGAGTGTGGTGGAGGCTCCTTCTTTGGAAGCTTTTAAACAAAGGCTGGATGGCCATCTGTCAGGGGTGATTTGAATGCAATATTCCTGCTTCTTGGCAGGGGGTTGGACTGGGTGGCCCACAAGGTCTCTTCCAACTCTATGATTCTAAGTTTCTATAAACCAAAACTTTCAATTTCTCAGCCACACACGTGGACTTTTGGAGCATTTAAGAACTTGCAGTTCTGGATAAAGGGCTCTCAATCAGTATAAAGAATCTCCTTTGGTACTGCGCTACAGAGCCCTTCCCCATAACATCACAAGAACACAAAAATGAACTCACTTCACTGTTCAGAAAGCAATACAGGACTGCAACAACCAGGCCCTGTTAGGAGGAGAATATTAATTAATTAAAGGATATTCACCAACTGTAATTATTGGGGGGAGAGGCGGACAATATGCAAAAATGTTACCTGAAATGATCCAACACATAATTCAAAAATGATCTGGTATCTACTTCCAATAGGAAAGACTGCACACACCGTGTAGTGAACTCCAAAGAGTGGAATAAGCAATAGTGTTGACTTTGTAAGTCTCCTTTAAAAGCAAAGACACACACAAATGTGTTAGGATGAAGTGGAACTTAAAGGATTTCCCCAAAAATGACTACGTTGCCAGCATAGGCCCAGGGCACTCACTTGTATTGGCATTGGTCATTGCCTCCAATATCCGGTGATCTCAGTTTTTGTAATAATATTCTTATAATGCTAATGAACAGCATAAAGTTCACCTGAAATGAAGCAATATGTAGATCAATAATTCAAGAAAACTCTTTTTCTATCATTCAAAGGATCAATTGTTCACTCAAGCCATACTCTAGATCAGGCATGGGCAAACTTCAGCCCTCTGGGTGTTTTGGACTTCCACAATTCCTAATAGCCTACCACAGTGTTTCTCAACCTGGTGGTCAGGACCCCTGTGGGGGTAGTGAGGGACTGTCAGAGGGGTCACCAAAGAACATCTGAAAACACAGTATTTTCTTTGGTCATAGGGGTTCTGTGTGGGAAGTTTGTCCCAATTCTATCATTGGTGGGGTTGAGAATGCTCTTTGATTGTAGGTGAACTATAAATCCCAGCAACAACAACTCCCAAATGTCAAGATGTTGTATTTCATTGTGGTGAGTGCTGAGGATTGGTCTGCGGTCATGGGGAGGTTATTAACCTAGTAGGCAGCCAAGAAGACCAAAATGGGAAGAGGATTAGAACATCCTGAACTGGTGATAAAAGCATCCAAAATAATATGGTATTATTTTGGCAGAGTATTGCCAAAGATAGTGTACTGTAACTCACTTTCCAAAGGAAGGTAACCAGAGGAGGGTGCCTAAAATGATCAAAGGTCTGGAAACAGGCTTGTTTTCTGCTGTCCTGGAGACTAGGGACGATGGGTTCAAATTCCAGAAGAGTAGATTCCACCTGAATATTAGGAAGAACTTCCTGATTGTAGGAAGAGCTGTTCAACCATCTGTCAGGCTTTAATTGTGCTTTCCTTGCATGGCAGGGGGTTGGACTAGATCGCCAATGCAGTCTCTTCCAACTCTATGATTCTATCATTCTAGGGGAGTTGTAGTTTTACAAGTTTTTAGGCTTCTCTGCCAGTGTACTGGTGCTTTGCCAAATGCCAGGATTCCATAGCATCAAGCCATGGCAGTTAAAGGCCCCGTCACACCAGAGAAAAAATCCACTTAAAATCTGGTTTCTGCCTCTTGCAGAATTCTGGGGTTTGTAGTTTAGGGAGGAACCTTTAACAGCCTCACTAAACTACAAACCCCAGAATTCTGAAGGAGACAGAAACTAGATTTTAAGTTGATTTTTTCCTCTAGCGTGATGAAGTAGAACATGATGCAAATCTGAATTAATTTTACAGTGTAGATTTTCACTAACTAACCAACAAGGAAACGAATAAGAACCTACCAATGTGAAGTCTGTCCACCTCAGATGTAGGTGCGGTGTATATCTGCATTGTCTTTTAGGAATTATTCAATCAGCCATTTGTGAATGTAAGGCATAGAGCAATGGTTCTCAACCTGTGGATCCCCAGATGTTTTGGCCTTCAACTCCCAGAAATCCTAACAGCTGGTAAACTGGCTGGGATTTCTGGGAATTGTAGGCCAAAACACCTGGGGACCCACAGGTTGAGAACCACAAGCATAGAGAGTCTGCTGCTACTGCTCTTCTTGTTGCTGTTTTGAGGACTAATCAAGAATTTAGAAATGTACATCATCAGCTAGCACATTGATGCCACATTGGTGTGGCAATGCATCTGGTCCATGTTTAGTCCAGACTTGAAAGAAGCTCTCCAAGGTGTTGAATGCTGTCAACCAAGTAGGTCTAGATTTGAATCTTGGAAAGCTACAAACCTAAATGGATTCACCACCACAATGGCATGGAAGCCACCAGACACTACTAATGGATGATGATGATGATGATGATGATGATGATGTTGATACACTTCACCCATATTTAGAAGGATTGAAACTGCTGTGCAAAACTGCAGCATTAAAACAGTATTTACTTTACCATTGAGTTTACTTACCAAAATGGAAATTAGAATTGGTAGCCTTATGATCCACCAAGGACCACTGGATTCATTTGTATCCCAGCAACTATTAGGAAGGAGGAAATACGGAGAATGTTACTATGCATTCCGCTAGGCAAGAGCACAGGAAAAAAATGAAGAGGATGGGGGAATACCATCATTAATTTAAGTATACACATCAATTAATTTAGTATGTTTTCTATTAAATGAGTGTTCTGCAAGGATCCATTGAATTGAATTGTCCAGGATTGAACCTGGAACCTCTTGAATGAAAATAAACGCCTTTTTTTTTTTGCTGAGTACAGGACCCTACCAAATTTATGCATTTGTTTTCTGTCTCTTCCCCTCCATCCAATATCATTGCACCTCTGGGGTGGGGATGTATTCATATACAATCCTGTATGTTGAAGAAAGGTGGCAGTCTAGGATCTGGACATGGGGCAATCACAAAAGAACTTTTTGTAGGAAAACGTGGAAGCACAAACTTCACTTTTCTTTTGGCACGTACCCAGTATCTTCCATATAGATCCTAGAAACTATCCACATGATGATGAAAACTGTAGGGATTCCTAGGAGAAAGAAGACATAGGAGCAGAGAAAAAAAACCAGAATACACATGAAATATTTACCTCACTTGTACTATACATAATGTTGCAATGCAAAATCAGTTATACAGTATGAGAATTAAATGTAAGGAAAACACTAAAAATACTAGGATGAAATAATGCACTCTATTGTTTATGTTGGAAATAGCAACCTTCTACAAGCCTCCTATACTAGTTATTTGTTATGTATATAATTCAGCTTGCTTACTATATTGTATGTATATTTTGATATGCAGTTTCCCCTTAACTCTATGTTGCTTAAGGTTGTGGGAGGGACTGCAAACCATGTGACCAGATCTGGGACTATTAAGACTGAGAGAAGTCAGTACAGTATGCAATTGTCATATTTTGGAAACAGACAGACAATCCTCCCAACAAAAGCTCTCCTCCGCTGTGGTTGGCCAGCCTCTCAGCCAAGGGGAGGACTCTTTCTAAGACTCCAAGTGGGGAGGGTAGAGCAGGTGTGCTTGGTGCATGACAGCATAGTGCGAGTGATGGAGAGCATGTAAGGCTTGCGCCAGCGAGTCCCTTCAAGGCAAGGGGGTTCAGTGTGGGAAGTTTGGCCCAATTCTATCATTGGGGGGCAGCTCAACCCATTACGCAAAGTAAGCATTTGCAGTATAGTTGATTTTTCCCAGGGGCGCTCTTGAGGCGCTCCTGGGGGAAAAATAGACCTTGACATATGCGAGTTGTAGTTACTGGGATGTATAGTTCACCTACAATCAAAGAGCATTCTGAACTCCACCAATGATGGAATTGAACCAAATATGGCACACAGAACTCCCATGACGAACAGAAAATATATATCAGTGATTGGTTTGGGGGGGGGGTGTGCCAAAATACTGTTTGCTTACCGTTGAAAGCAAACAGTATTTTGCTAGGGCCGCCTCTGTTGGTAGGATTCAGAATGCTCTTTGATTGTAGGTGAACTATAAATCCCAGCAATTACAACTCCTAAACGTCAGGGTATATTTTCCCCAAACTCCCCCAGTGTTCACATTTAGGCATATTGAGTATTCGTGCCAAGTTTGGTCCAGATCTATCATTGTTTGAATCCACAGTGCTCTCTGGATGTAGGTGGACAACAATTCCCAAACTCCCAATAAACCCTTCCAGTATTTTCTGTTGGCCATGGCAGTTCTGTGTGCCAAGTTTGGTTCAATTCCATCATTCGTGGAGTTCAGAATGCTCTTTGATTGTTGGTTAACTATAAATCCCAGCAACTTCAACTCTCAAATGACAAAATCAATCCCCCACCCAACCCCACCAGTATTTGGGCGTATTGGGTATTTGTGCCAAATTTGGTCTAGTGAAGGAAAATCCATCCTGCATATCAGATTTTTACATTACGATTCATAACAGTAGCAAAATTACAGTTATGAAGTAGCAACGAAAATAATTTTATGGTTGGGGGTCACCACAACATGAGGAACTGTATTAAGGGGTTATGGCATAAGGAAGGTTGAGAAACAATATAAACACGCTAAGACTGTTTAGATCCAAGTTGAAGAAGTCTAACCCAGCAGCTAGCACACACTTTAAAATAATTACCTTATTTTGGATTATGATTCTCAAAACTCGCCATACAGCATGGCTGGCAAGGTTTTGAGACCTCTAATCCCAAAACAATATCTGTCAAGGACCGCATTTAATAGCGACAAGAAGAAAGAAAAGATTATATTGATCTTCTTACCCCATCCAATAAGGAGATATATGGTGAAGTGTCTGTTATGAGAAACTATTACCAAGAGGAGGATGTGGAGAAAAAGTCCTTCAACTAAGAGCCAATAAAAGTTGGCCATTACGCAGTACTGGAAAAATACCAAGCTAGCCTTGCAGCCGACCTGGAAAGTTATAACCAAAGATGAAACATTTGCTCAAAGAAATACTTGTAACACAGTAAATTGCATCCTTTGTTGAAAACCTTTTTGATAAATACAAGCTCTGACACCAGGGACTCTCTTTTCTCTGAACTTTTCTATTGGTAACCTCAAAGGGCCTTTTTATTGTTCAAACTTGGTTCAAAATGCAAAAAGCTTGAATGAAAACAAATCACAAATGCTCCGTAAACACATACTGAGGGTGATTTATTAGGTAGTTGTCTCCTAAGGTCTTAGTGTGTGTATACACATATATAATGCTTTTATCTTGTGCTTTTCCTTCTTAGCAAATATATTTGTTGGTTTTCAAGGCAATGCGTTCCAAGAATAAAAATACCCCCGTCGCTGTGATTGAGTTGGAACAAGGAGACAATATTCAAGACCACCACTTAACCAGAAGTAATTTGGTTTAGGAAACATGCTGCCATCACTTTTTAAAGCTAGTTTATTCTAGAGAGCAGTGCCAGCAGCAAAAAATAGATCCGTGGAATGCACAGCTACAAGAATAGGCTGAAAGCACATCCTGACTGTTATGTAACCAGACTGGGGTCAGCGAAGTGACTCTTTGCTGCAGATATTACATCACCTGGACCACACTGCAGCCTATTGATTTATACCCCTCAGACTATAGTGGCAACAGCAGTTTGGGCACATCCTCAGGAAAAAGTACAGCAGTTCTTTATAAATCAGCCAAAAATAGAAAAAAATAAGAAACATCTTTCCCATCTCCTGCAAGTTTATCAGACTGAATTTGTGAAATGAAATTGGATGTCAGTTTCTGAACATTTCTGTCACAGAATATCTTTGTGGGAAGATGAAAAAACTAGTCAAATTTAATTAAGGAGGAAAAAACCCACTGGACGTTCCAAGCAGTGAACATTCTCACCTCGACAAAAGATACAGCGTTTCATCCGAGGAATAGGAAAAAGATGTTGGGATCAGGTTTGTTTGTACAGAGGGTATCCAATTACATATGAAGCTGTATTACACAGCTAGATCATTTAACTCAGAGATACCACTCTCTTCTTCGAATGCTACATCTAATCACTACCTAAAGTGTGACATGAGATCTTGCTTTCTTTCTTTTGTTGTTGCAAGAACTAACAAATTCTCAACTTTGTATTTACTATGCTACGGCTCATTATATGATGTCTGCCCCAACCCCATGCATATATTTATTTATTTACAACTTTTATATGCCTCCCTTCTCACCCCGAAGGAGACTCAGACTGGCTTACAAGATATATATATACAAACAATATATTATATTATTAGAATAGTACAATATCAGTAATAAATATTACTATATTGTACTATACCATTATATTTTAATATTATTTTACAATATTTTATTTAAGATTCCATTCTCTAAAGAAAGTCCTTTGGAGTTCAGCAAGTAAAATCATAGTGCTTTAATCACTAAAAAAGAAAAATCTAACAACCGACTACATTCACTCTTATTGACCTCATCACATTAGACCAGTGGTTCTCAAGCTATGGGTCCCCAGATGTTTTGGCCTTCAACTCCCAGAAATCGTAACAGCTGGTAAACTGCCTGGGATTTCTGGGAGTTGTTAGCCAAAACACCTGGGAACCCACAGGTTGAGAACCACTGCATTAGACAATGAATCCACTTTAAATCCAGTTTTTGCCTCCTGCAGAATTCTTGCATTTGTAGTTTAGTGAGGCTGTCAAAGGCTCCTCCCTAAACTACAAACCCTTGAATTCTGCAGGAGGCAGAAACCAGGTTTTAAGTGGATTCATTCTCTAGTGTGATGAAGTAATATGTCAGCAAGTATTCATGCTTGTATCTTTTTACAAATAGTACTAAAGCAAATGTCACATTTCATCTTCCACACTCTAAATTACCCTCCTCAATGCTAGTAGCACTCATCACTGCACATTTGTTACAAATATTGAGGCAGAAAGTGCTGTCCAATTATTTCAGTGGTTTCCAATCTGTGGTCCGTGGGCCGCCAGTGGTACGAAAAAAACTAAAATATGATCTGCAGCCTCACCATTACTACACCATTGCAACGAGAGTGACTGGTCTTGTGAAAACCTCTTATAGTGCCCAGGCTTATTAAATATGGTTTTCTGTAGGCAAGCAGATGGCAACTACTGGATGCATTTACTAGAGCTGAGGTGGTCTATCCAATGCAATTTTCTGAATCAGCACCCCAAACAACAAAACCTAAATCTAAAGTTAACCAAAAACTGATTTGTAACCCTTTTGGTACTAATGTTGGAGAGTTATCCCTGGTCAAAGTGGTCCCTGGTCAAAGTGGTCCCTGTTCAAGTGATCCCTGATAATAATAAAAAAGGTTGGGAACCACTGAATTATGTGGAGAAATTTTAACTAAGTTTTCTATCCCACTCTGCACATCCATACTCTCATTTCACTTTTTATGTGTTGAATTCTGTTCCATCTTTTTCACTGCTTGCTTATTCTACCAGCTCAACTGTTTTTCCTCCATCCTCACTTTGCTTCTATGCAGCCCCAGAGTATGGGTTGCATCCAATAAAGACCACCCATGGAGCATAAACAGCACTGGTCAATCCTGATCTGGAGTTTTGGGAACTCTCTGAATCAACATTTTGGGGCAAAGCAGGAGGGAAGCATCCCTTGACTGGAAATCTGCTTCTGCAGCATTGGATGGAGCATGACCTATCGTTATAAATACACAGTGGGAAATGTAGGGGACACATTAAGAACATTGCTATTAATGCAACTGTATTTACTTACCCAAGATGGGTGATCCTCTGAGCACTTAATTGTATCAGAATTGGAATAGAGAATATCATCCTTAATGAAAATAGACACTGATTTAAGGATGAAAGACAGGAACAAATTCAAATGTATGTAGTTCCGTGTGCAGTGAAGTTTCCTATGTATGGAAAGAAAAGACACTGTAGTACCTGAAAACAAAGGGCACGTCAACATCTTCTCTGGAACAAACAAAGGAAAACAATGCTGAGCTCCTCTCTTTGAAGGTGCAAGAAGGGCCCTGGTGAAATCTGTTTGCAAAATCTTGCATAAATCTTGAGATGTGAATCAAGAGAACAGTGCTATCATGCTAATAGTCAGAACACTTGGAAGAAATCAATGACACCTAAAGCTATGAATGTACTGTTTATCAATGCTGAAAAGTTTCAGGCATACAGTGCTTATCCTGGATCCAAATACTGTATATACTAGTTTTATAGCCTAGTTTTTCAGACTAGTTTTTTTTTTTACTATATAGCCTATTTTTTCAGCCTATTTTTTTACTGTATAGCCTAGTTTTTCAGCCTATTTTTTAGGTTGAAAAGCCCCCCTCGGTTCATACATAAAGTTACTTATTATTTGACTTTATTTATTATTGTTATAACATTTATAATTTAACTTTATTACATTTATTATTTTACTCTATTATTATAGTTATTATTACATTTCCATTATTTTACATTATTATTATTATTATTATTATTATTATTATTATTATTATTATTATTACCAGTCGTGTTTTTCCTTTGATAAACATTTAAAAAACAACCCCTTCCATTTTAAACCAAACTTACCTAAAAGTGCAAAGAATGATGCTTCCTGTAGTCAGAGCAACTAAAGACACACTATATCCAAAGGTGTATATTGCTTTTACCAGAACATAGAAAATCTATGAAAAAAACACATCAACACCCAACTGTTACTATAAGAGGTCACAAATAAATAATTTACAAATGAGACATTATTTTACATAATTTTGGAAAGGCATGACATTTTAGAGATTATAGCCTTTTGGAAAACCAGGAATCTCCATAGCCTTTTGGAAACGTGACCTTTTGGAGATTAATTGGCATTTGCTACCATTTGGAAAATCATAACCTTTTTGTAAATTATGATCTTCCCGAGAAGAGCTAAAATTTGTTTGAGTAAAATCTTCTCTTCTGTGGTATATATCCACATGGACTTATGCAAGGCAATTTAGCTTTCAGCTGTTAGACTGATAACCTAGTTGTCTCTGACCTGTCAGGAACACAGGTTATGCCAATGCACAAAATATATAGCAGATCTTCAGAAGTGTTATTTCAGTTGCCCAAAAACATCTACGCTCCCTTAAAACATCTTGGTTTAAATCATGCTCTCAAGTAACAAAAATAAATAGTCTTTGTTAAAAGCAACATAGCTGGTTTACTTACAAACTTCATGTATTAAGCATACAGGTATATTTCTTATTGGTTGAGAGTTTACACAGTAAATTCTCCAAGACATTCTGTTGCAGTCTCTTCTCTGTCTTATGTCTAATGCATAATGAACACTGACTAAACCTCACAACCTCTGAGGATGCTTGCCACAGATGCAGGCAAAATGTCAGGAGAGAATGGGTTGTTGTAGGTTTTTTTCGGGCTGTATGGCCATGTTCTAGAGGCATTCTCTCCTGAATCTATGGCAAGCATCCTCAGAGGTAGTGAGGTCTGTTGGAACTAGGAAAGGCAGTTTATATATCTGTGGAATGACCAGGGTGGGACAAAGAACTCTTGTCTGTTGGAGCTAGGTGTGAATGTTTCAACTGACCACCTTGAGAGAAGGTGAGAATGCTTCTAGAACATGGCTATACAACTCAAAAAATCTACAAGAACCCACTGACTATACAATACACTACTGACTTCTAAACTGTACTGCTTCTGATGCAAACACAACTTCTAAAATCGAATCTCTGTCTGAATAGTCCCAGATCTGGTCACTTGGTCTGTAGTCCAACAACCTCAAACAACATAGAATTAAGGGGGAAACTGCATATCAAAATATACATACAATATAGTAAGCAATCTGAAATTATATACATAACAAATAACTGGTATAGGAGGGCTTGTAGAAGTTTGCTATTTCTAACACATAATGCTCCAAAATCATGCATAGGATGGTGTTTGAACCTCCCTGATGTAGACCCAGTGCCTCGAAGATCCATGCATCTTCTTCAGATCTTGTGATCTAGAGAAGATGCATAGATGATGGAGAAGGAAGGGAAAAGGTCCTGATCACATCCAGCTGTAGTAATCTCTCCCCATGTTCATGAAGGAATGGCTCATGCATGTTCTTCGAGCTGTACCGTTCCAAAATATTTCTATGCTTTATGTGAAGGGTATGATGGTGCTTCTTGCTGTTCCATATTTGCAGAAACTAGCTAAGTCTCAAATTTGACCTTCCTTAAACAAGGGCAAAGAGATCTTTCCCCAGTCACAGATGAGTCGGCAGTCTTCATAAACACACTTGCTAAAACTGTGGGCGTACACCTTATATGGATTCTTCCTTTTATGGCATATTGATCTGCAAGGCAATCTTAAGTGTGTAAGACTTCGTCATGTACGTGGCCTGATGTACATGCATTTCTGCGACTGCCTCTCTACTTTCAAAAAATGAAGCCAGTCATGTAGAAAAAGAATCTGTGCGGCTTTCTATTAATACGCTTGCTGGATATAACAGGCTAAAGTTAGCTTGCTTGCATTTTGTTTGACAGGGCATTCTTTCCACTTCAGAGCATATTTCTCACTTCAGTTTAACAGGGCAAAAAAAGTGTGAGCCAAAAGGTTAATGTGCTGCTGCAGGAGGGTCTCTGGTGCCTTTGTAATCCCATTGTTATTTAACATGCATCTCTTTGGAGTGAGGTGTTGCGTCTGGCATTTGTGTTGCATTTGCACACTTGGAATCAACCGATATTCAGACTAAAGAACACAAGGAGAAGGCATTTGAATCAGAGCAAAGATCCATCTAACTTTGCCTCTTGCTTGGCACATTTGCTGGCCAAGAAGCCCCTCAAGAAGCCCACAATCCAGACTTCAAACAGGGTGGGAAACCTTTGCCATTTCAGATATCGATGCCATTGGTCAGGGGCAGGCCCGTAGCCAGGATTTTGTTTCGGGGGGGGGGGGGGGGGGAGCTGAATTTTTTCAGGTTTTTTTTGGGGGGGGGCTGAGTTTCGGGGGGGGGCTGAGTCTGAGTGAAAGAGGGTCTACCCTAGCAAACCTTTTGTATCATTACCCCAATACCCCCATGCATATGGGATATATTGAGTATGGTGATCAGATCATGATATTAATAAACATAACAGTTTAAGTAATGCACCAGTAAGGCCTTTTCGCGAACCACCATGAGAATTTTGGGGGGCGGCTACATGCCTGGCGGATAATGCTGTGGGGAGATGGAATTAAAAAGCATTGCTACTACTATAGCTGATATTTGGTGATACACCAATTCAGAACTATGCTAGTTCTTCTAAAGGTCTCTAGAGCAGCTATTGCTAATAATTATTCCCAGATCTGCCTTCTATTCCTTTGTTGAATTCCCTTCCAAAGCCACCCAAGCTACAAGGCATCACAACATAATGTGGGCCATAAGCTCCATGAGTTAATTATGTCTTCTCTAAAGAAGTTCTTTCTTTTGTCTGCCTGGAATCTACTGTCAGTTTCATTGGATGGCTCCCAAGTTCTTAATAGGCTGAACCAACAGCATGATGGACAGTTCTTATAATCTATTCATTTTGCCATCTGAAAGCTGAGTGCTATGGCAGGCAAACTGGTGATTTACAGGAACCAAATACACCCAAACACTTGGCAACTAGTGTCGTGGATGCAGATAATGAAGTAGAAAATGCACATATGCCTCTCCATCTCCAGGTTTGCAGAAGCTGGTGTCTCCAATCTCTATTGCTTTTGTGCTAGACCACCTTTTGGGATGTGCAGTATTCAAAAACATAGTGAGATGTTCACCATGGAGCATAGTTGACGGCTGACAACACAGGACTGAAAAGAGATAGCGAAAATGGGGAATAAATCATGGGAGTCTGTCTTGTTTGGGGAGATTTAGGGATAGAGATAATTATAGGATCATAGAATCAAAGAAGAGACCTCATGGGCCATCCAGTCCAATCCTCTGACTAGAAGCAGGAAAATCGCATTCAAAGCACCCCCGGCAGATGGTCGTCCAGCCTCTGCTTAAAAGCCTCCAAAGGAGGAGCCTCCATGACACTCCAGGGCAGAGAGTTCCACTGCTGAACAGCTCTCTCAGTCAGGAAGTTCTTCCTCATGTTCAGGTGGAATATCCTTTCCTATAGTTTGAAGCCCTTGTTCCGTGCCCTAGTCTCCAGGGCAGCAGAAAACAAGCTTGCTCCCTCCTCTCTATGACTTCCCCTCACACATTTATATATAGCCTTATCATGTCTCCTCTCAGTCTTCTCTTCTGCAGGCTAAACATGCCCAGCTCTTTAAACTGTTCCTCGTAGGGTGACTCAAATGACCCTTGATCATTTCAGACACCCTTCTTTGGACACATTCCAACTTGTCAACATCTCGCTTCACTTGTGGTGCCCAGAATTGGACACAGTGTGGTGTGACCAAGGCAGAACATAGGGGTAGCATGGCTTCCTTGGATCTAGACACTATACTTCTATTTATGCTGGCCAAAATCCCATTGTTTCTAGCAATACCAGCTAATACAAGGTGACAGCATGGCTACTACAGACATATGAAAGACCCATAATCTGTTGTCTTATCTTCCCTCTGCTATGCAACGTGCTATTTTAAAAGGCTTAGGTGCAATATGTGCTGCTAATATAAATGATTTTATTAATTTGTTTCAGAGATAAGGAGCTTGTTAAAATTCATTCCAGGACCGGATACTTTATTAACATATTCATTCTCCTGCACTTTATTTTCGAAGGCAAGAATGTGTGATCAAGTATTCTATTTTGCCATCTCCTTGCAAATTAGAATGCTAACTACAATTTTTTTTAAAATGAGACAGAACAAAAGAAGGCTAGATCCAGAGAACGGAGAGAGGAAGAGGTTTATGTGCCTGTGTCTGGCAGGACATTTTAAATAGTATGTTTGAGAAAACCAATTTTTGGGGATGTCCCCTTGTACGAAAGGAGAGCTGCCATAGGCACCAGCTTTATCTTAACTCCCTTTTAATTTTTGTTTGCTCACCATAATTATATGCAATCTCTTACTTGTTTTTGCTGTCTCTTTCATTTTGTTTTATGGTGCTTTTTAACTGCAGCTGCTTTTTTGTTTTATTGCAGGATTTTATTGTTCCTTCTCCCCTTTATATATGTTGGGAGCTTCTATTCCGGTGTATGCTACTACTTCTTGAAAAGCCAACTTGAAACTTTGATATCTGGATCCATCCTTCCAGATGGATTAATGGAGAAAAACTTCACTCGCCATAGCCAGCATGAAGCAAGTTGTAGCCCAACACAACTGGAATACACTACAATCCCTCTCAAGGTACACTGTTCTGGCACTATGATTACTTAGGCGATCACTCATAGCCTGAGGATGATGGTCCTTCAAGTGTAGTGTCTTGGTGGTGGGTCCTTAGGTTGCTGTGGAGCCCTATTCATGATCCACATGTTCTCCTGCAGTGAGGACATCAGTTTCCAGGTGAAAGGCTTGGCTTGATGCGCCTTTCCCTTGGCATGTTTCTCCCTATCGCTCTCCATTCATGCCTCTTCGAATTCTGCAGAACTGCTGGTCACAGCTGACCTCCAGTTAGAACCCTTGAGGGCCAGAGCTTCCTAGTTCTCGGTGTCTATGCCACAGTTTTTAAGGTTGACTTTAAGCCCATCTTTAAATCTCTTTTCCTGTCCACCAACATTATGTTTCCTATTCTTGAGTTGGGGGTATAGTAACTGCTTTGGGAGATGGCGATCGGGCATTCGGACAACATGGCCAGTCCAGTGGAGTTGATGGCATAGGAGCATCGCTTCATTGCTGGTGGTCTTTGCTTCTTCCAGCATTTGTCCATTTGTCTTCGCAAGAGATTTTCAGGATTTTTTGGAGGCAACGCTGATGGAATTGTTCCAGGAGTTGAGTGTGATGTCTGTATACAGTCCACGTTTCGCAGACATATAACAAGGTTGGGAGGACAGCTTGGTATCCTTACAGATGTTCTGGTCCTCAAACACTCTCTGTTTCATTCAGAAAAATGCTGCACTCACAAAGCTCAGGCAGTGTTGTATTTCAGTGTCAATGTTGACTTTTGGTATTATGATTCCACATTCACTGCCATGGTTAGGGGCACAGGACCCCGGAGGAAGTGAAAAACAACAAATACAGAAATTGCTGTTTTTTACTTGAGAAAATACCTCTTTAGGAACCTTATCAGATTGGGATTATATTTCTGAAACTCTTTGAAAGCCATATTGAATGGGTCCTATGACATGACGTTGCCCTATTCCATCAGTAATCCATTGGAATCCATCTGCAAACCATCACATAAACAGAGTAATTGCACTTGAAGTTATAATTTTTTAAAGTTTAATACGGTTTTGAGGCACTATACTTATGTGTGATCACGTAATCAGTGTGCATTCCATCAGCTAAAAATTTACGAGAATGGTAGTTTGAGACTTCCAGGCTACATCACTGTGCAATATTAGAAAAAAAACAAACATTTTTTTTAAGTGACACAGGGAGACATTCAAATGGATTGCGAGGAGTTAACCTTCAGTGATGTGATGAGTCAAAGCACAGTATTTTCAGAACAGAAGAATTGGATGCGATGGGAACAGTATGCATCCCATCTGAATACAGTATGCACTAGTCTAAAAAAATATTGGATGCATACCTGATATAAATGGAGCATATCCCAAATGTTACGATAAGGTTTTCTAAATCTCTAGGTCCTCCACCATGACTGGAGGAAGTTGACCATAAAGTAATACTGCTAGGAAGAACATTTTTATCAAATCTGCAAATGTGGAAAGACTACGTGGAGTCAACATTAAGAATTTCTAATGTGGACTATATAGACTGTATCAAGTCAACGGTACGAATTTCATAAATGCATCAATAACAGTGGCCAACACTCATTTTGGTGCCTCAAATGTTAGACCTGTTTCTGAATATTTTTGACTCGCTGATTCAAAAAAATGGCTCCAGTTTCCCCCTATCAGCTCAAGTTTTTGAGATGCAGAACATATGCCATATACTATCTGTCATCTGCTCACCCATACAGAATCAGGATAATCATATCGAAGAAACTGGAGCCGATGTGGTCTATCCAATGCAATTTCCTGAATGTGTATTCCAAATAATCCCAGGAAGAGGCCAAAAAACCAAGACACCAATATATTTTTAATTGGGTAGGTATGTGTAATCAATGTATCTAGAAAAGCTCTTGAGAATCTTGATGCAATGGGTGAAACCCTTGTGCTGCTGAACTGCTGACTGGAAGGTTGGTTGAACTGCTGACCGGAAAGTTGGCAGTTTGAATCTGCGAGATGGGGTGGACTTCCATCTATCAGCTCCAGTTCCTGCCAACGTAGCAGTTCAAAAACATGTAAATGTGAGTAGATAAATAGGTACCACTTTGGCAGGAAAAGGCAAAGAGATGCTCCAAGCAATCTTGCCAGGCACACAACCAGGAGGTGACAACGAAGGTTCCTTGGCTTGAAAATGGAGAAAGCACCTCCGCAGAACCAGAGAAGCCGGAAAAGAAAGGAAAAGCCTCTACCTTTGTTTGTGTTTGTGTGTCATTATATATTATTGTAAAGGCATTGAATACTTGCCTGTGTATGTAAAATGCTGTAATCCACTCTGGGAGAAGAGTGGAATATAAATAGAGTGTATTATTATTACTATTATTATTATTATTATTATTATTATTATTATTATTATTATTATTATTTCAAGCAACAAAGACTCAATCCATCCAGAGATTCTCTCATAAGTTTTTATGAGTTCTTAACTGAATAAAGTGAAGTTCAAATTTCCGAATGGAATCAGTATCACTAAGTCTGCCATTATTAAGACGGTCGAACATACATCACTCACATAACCTCCGATGGAGCATACAATATTTGAAAAACATTGATATCCGAGAAAAGTAGAAAAACTGCTTTCCAGCTGGAAAAGCCAGCATGTTTCCATTCTACTTCCTTGAGAACTCTGTAGTGTTTAGCTTTCCAAAATCCCTTAATTAATGAGATCCACATATGAGATTCTTTTGAAAAAAGAAAGTCATATTGTATGTGTAATAAGAAAAGAACCTTATTTTTGGTTTAAAATTTCCAAAAATGCTTTTGAAAGGCATACAGCTGCTATCCACATGTACACAATACCGTGTGTGTGTGTCTCTCTCTCTCTGTGTGTGTAGACCTCCACAGATCTCATAGCTGTGATTAACTCACTTCTGCTCTTTTTCATTTCGATTTGTGGAGGTACAGACACACAAATCTCTCTCTCTCTCTCTCTCTCTCTGTGTGTGTGTGTATGTATATGTATATGTATATGTGTGTGTGTGTGTGTGTGTGATATATATATATATATATATATATATATATATATATATATATATATGGTATTTGTGTATCTATACCTCCACAGATCAAAATGAAAAAGACCAGAAGTGAGTTAATCACAGCTGTCAGAACTCACTTGAGAAGACATAGGTGGAGTCTCTGCCAAAAGATCACTTTCTAAAGATGTATAAAACAAAGACCTACAGGTATAAACACATGCATAATGTAATGTATTTGTAGGTCATAAGCATTCAGACTGGGATCCTAGAGTTATTTTAGGGTGACTACACATTTCAAAGGGGCTGCGGTGGTGCAGCGGGTTAAACCACTAAGGTGCAGAACTTGCTGACTGGAAGGTCAGTGGTTCGAATCCGCAGGACGGGTCAGAGGTCCTCACAACCTCTGAGGATGCCTGCCATAGATGCAGGTGAAACATCAGGAGAGAATGCTTCTGGAACACGGCCATATAGCCCAAAAAACTTACAGCAACCCAGTGATTCCAGCCATTAAAGGCTTTGACAATAAATTGTGTCAAGATATCTCTTCCATGCAATTCTATCCTATTCAATAATCAGAGTAACACTTTTCATAATTTCACATATGAAAACTGAAACATATATGGACAAATAATAGTGTAACCAAAAGCTATTAATGAGGAAGCACATGCAAACTAAAAGAGGATACAGCAATTTACTTTTGCCTAAACATACTGGGAAGAGTAAGATTTCACGTCTTCTTTTCCTCTTCCCTTTGAGGAATTAACTGAGCAAATCATAGACATATATTCTACAATTAAGTCGTCCCTTCAATATTTTTGATTCTGAACGACAACGTTGTTTGTGCTTACCGTGGTGTCATCTATATCTTTGAATTCACAAGCGATGTAGAAATTTGGAAATATCTCTGACCAACCATTTCTGGTACAATTTTTGCTGATATTTCCTTTAAAAAAAGCACACCAAAACAATCCATAAACATCTAGAAATTTACTCAACAAAGGTCTTTTTACTGAAACCAACCGAATCTATAAACTTATACCTGTTTGTTAGGGTTAGAAGCAATATAACAGGACAGGTCTCCCACATTGTGTGCTCTTCAGATGTACTGAATAACTTCCATCATTCCCCAAACACCAATGGCTATGGCTGATGGGATTTGTAGTCCAAAATATTTTGAAGGTTTTAAGTTCAGCATCCATCCACTGTATTGTCCCAAATGTTATTCTAAGCTCAGATACTTTAGAAACTTCACAACTGTGTGTTGTTAAGCTGCAGCTGACCTGTATGGCATTGAAGAACTCACTTGGCAGATATGTTATTAGATCCTAGCCTTTGAGAAGACTAATTTGGGTTATAAGTATGTTTGATGTGAAAGTAATTTGAATAGAATTGTCTCCATAAAATTCTCTCATTACTCTACGGTATTATTAGAGGTGATCCTGAATGGTCTGTGGCAGAGTTATTAAATCCCTCAAGTCTTGTCATGACAAATAAGTAGCCAGAGGAATGAATGGACCTCTGACACACAGTAAATTTCAATTTTGTTTATAATACATATTAAAAGCCTCATCTAATTATAGGAGGAGAAATTCTACAATATGAAACAAATTACATGGCGTCCCTGTTACCCTTCCAGAACATACAAGAAAATTGTTTAGAGCTCTAACACATAAATAGGCACCTGCCAAACATAAAATATATGTATTCATATTAAGCCTGGAGTCTTATCGGGGTAGCTGGTAGATCTGTTGCTAGTCCTGGTCATGGGAGTTGCAGTTTTACAAGACTTTTAGCCTTTGCTGACAAAGAGTGCTGGTGCTTCACCAAACTACAAATCCTAGGATTCCACAGCATTGCGCCATGGCAATCAAAGTGGTGTCAAACTACAGTGCAGACTCGTTCTAAGTTGATGTTAAATTGTAAATTGTATTTTGTGAATTGTTGGGCATCGAATTGTGCCTTTTGTAAGCCGCCCTGAGTCCCCCCTAGGGGGTTGAGAAGGGCAGGGTAGAAGCACTCCAAATAAATAAATAAATAAATAAATAAATAAATAAATAAGTTGAAGAGGTATTCTCCTGTTGCTGTGATAGGTTATAGCTCTAGGACAGTGGTTCTCAACATGTGGGTCCCAAGGTGTTTTGGCCTACAACTCCCAGAAATCCCAGCCAGTTTGCCAGCTGTTAGGATTTCTGGAAGTTGAAGGCCAAAACATCTGGGGACCTATAGGGTGAGAACCACGGATCTAGGAGTTGGCCAAAACAACCCTGAACACGTCTAACAAGTATAGTACTAAAATCAAGTGGATTCACCAGTTGCCCATGTCCTAATTTTGTTCTTATATGGGGCCCAAACACAATACACAATTACACAACTAGGTATGTTCCAATTTAACTACCATAGTCTGGAGTTTGTAGTATGCTAGGGGACTAGTGCTCAATTGATGAAAAATTCTTTTTTTTTTTGTTTCCACTACTAACTCAGTGTACTTTATTCGCCTGCAGCCTACAGCTGAATAGCCAACACCGGACAGAATTCAGTAGCACTGAGGAATGATCAGATCTCCCCTTCACACACCTCTCTCTCTCCCCAATTCAGGAATGGCTTTCGTGTTGTGGGTGTCTTTCTGCTTGATGAAAAATTCTGAACATATTTATTTATTTCGAGCATTTCTACCCCGCTCTTCTCAACCCCCTGGGGGGGAGGGGGGCATACCATCCTAAACTGCAAATCCCAGAATACTTTAATGGCCCTAATTCTGAAATAATATAGGGCCCAATCACATTGCATAATTACAAAAACTATATTCCAGTTTAATTGCCACAGGTGTTTGTGGTTTGATTAAAACATTAGACCTCTCTAGATGAGGCACTACTGCCTATATGTGTCAACTTAATGTATATATCGGGGCATGTTTTGGGGCCAAAATTATGGATTTCGCTTTCACATGTGGATAAATCATGAATAAACTTTAAAAACATATAGTAAACAAATTATGGTGACTCAGTAAGCGGATGGGGATTTCTCAAAGGATGAGGAGTCTGTGTGTGATCGGGGAGAATTGCAGGCCTTAGATAAGAGAAATTGCAGGCAGATGAAGACAAGGCTGAGAATGTTTGGATGCCAATGTTCATTCCTTATCAACAGGGGAAAGGGAAGCTGGTGAAAGGTCCATTTCTCCTGGGAAATGGCCTTCAGCCGATGGGGTGTTTTCCTGCGAAGGACAAAGGAAGCGAAAGATAGATTAACTAGGCATTCTGAGAGACTCCGTGAGAAGTCCTTGAAGCCCAGGTGCGTTCGGCATGATCTCATGGTATCTTGGCCAGGCTTGGGCTTAAATTAAGTAATGTTTACTTGGTGTCTTTCAGAGGAGACAATGCTTCCATAAGGTTTGGGTTCCTGACTCAGCTTTCAAGTTCATGACTCAAATTTCCTGTGTTTGCCTATATTCCTGGAAGGGTTTGCCTTGGAAAAAGTTCCTGTGGATTTATGCCTGTGCTCGTGGATTTATGCCTGTGATTTGGACTCTCTTGACTTCATGTACCTTGCCATTTTTGATTACTGTTCTTTTGGATATGGACTGCTGCTATTTTGTATTTCCTTTCCTACTGCTCTTTTTGGAAATGCTCTTTTCCCCCTTTGTACATGGTTTTCTTAATAAGCTGCTGTAGTTAGTACTACTGGACTCTGGTGTGGTGCTGAGTGAAAAGGTGTCTTCAAGGCTAGAGTGCAACAAAAATATTATCCTAATTAGTTTGATGGATCATATATAAAAAGTCACATATTTCAAGACAGAAACCTCTTTAAAGAAGAACAGTCACAGAAATAAGCTATACTTATCTTGTGACCCATGCAGATCCCTTTCTATAGGTATTCATCACCAAATACAAAAGCACTGCACCAAACACAGAATAGGTTTTTGAATCTCATGCTATTAATTTCAGCACATGGGGAGCCTTTAAAAACAACATAGCTTCAATCATATAATCATACCTGTTTTGCCATCATCGTTGCTAAAGATCTTTGGACAAGGGACTGTCACAGTTTCTCCGATTTCTGCAGGGTGCCAACAAGTAAGGTTATCCCAGATGCCATGACATCCTGGAAAGAAAAGTAGAAAGCATCCAATGTGAAATTTTGGGAGTGAAATCAATCTTTCCAAGCTGTCTAGAGACCTGAAGCCTTTTTAAAGAAGATCTGTCATGAAACAAAGGAATTCTCCTCCTACATCATAGTTTTTCCAGACCACACAAGACGTACTCAAGTAAGATCTATATTTTCAGTAAGTACAAGTTGTTAAAGAAATCTTAATTCAAGCGCTGTAAAAATGCATGGTGGCTTGCTTTTTATTTTCAACATGGAATGCATCTTGATTTTTTTGTGAATCTTGCAGCATTTCTTATTTGGATGATCAAGAATGTAGCCAAAATTGATTGCTGTAAGTTTTCTGGGCTGTACGGCCATGTTCCAGAAGCATTATCTCCTGACGTTTCACCCACATCTATGGCAAGTATCCTGAGTTTGTGAGGTCTGTTGGAAACTAGGCAAGTGGGATGTATATATCTGTGGAATGTCCAGAATGGGAGAAAGAACTCTTGTCTGTTTGAGGCAGGTGTGAATGTTGCCATTGGCCACCTTGACTTGCAGCTTCAAAGAACAACATTCAGAAAATGGGAATTCCAGACAGGAAAAAATCAAGGCCAGCTAACAGCTCCCAACAAAGGATCCTCCCAGGTAGGAAGCAGACAAGTTTTGAAGATGCAAGGTCATTCAATACTAATCAAGGTGGCCAACTGCAACATCACACTAGATGTGGGTGAAATGTCAGGAGAAAATGCTTCCGGAATATGTCCATACAGCCCAGAAAACTCACAGCAACTCAGTGATTCTGACCATGAAAGCCTTAGACAACACGTAGCTAAAGTCTTTGGAAAAAGTAATATTTTGGAGCACCCTCTGGACATGCTGCTTGGAAGAGGCTAGGAGTTGTCAACTAAAAAAGGAACTTTTCCTAGTGATAGAAGAAAGGAAAAAGTGTATCATGATAGGCAGTAATACTCTGAATACCTCAATGGGAGTATCTATATAGTGCCAAATTAATGCAGTTTGACACTACTTTAACTGTCACGGCTCAATAATACAAAATTATAGGAGTTGCACAGATTTTTTTTTAAAGTTTTGGAAGGTCTTTAGCCTTCCCTGCCAAAGAATACTGGTGTCTCACTGAACTTAATCCAGGATTAAGCCATGGCAGTTAAAGTGGTATCATACTGCATTAATTCAACAGTGCAGATGCACTCTATGTGGTTTTAGAGCAGGCTTGGGCAAACTTGGGCCCTCCAGGTGTTTTGGACTTCAACTCCTGCTGGCTGTTAGGAATTGAGGGAGTCGAAGTCCAAAACACCGGGAGTGCCCAAGTTTGCCCAAGCCCGCTCTAGATTCTCTAAACAATTTTTGTTGTGAATCTCTAAAGTAGGAGAAGTTGAGCTGTTTTAGTATATATATTTTTTCTAAATCAGACCAAGCTCCCTTTAAAGTTTCTCTTAAACCAAATTTGAAAAACAAACCTTTCATTGCAGTCAGCAGACTATTAGGGAACACTTTAAATACATATGAAATAAGCAATTTGTTTTGTATCAAATGTAAATATTATTAGAACAATTTAAACAGCTATATTTTATTTCTGGTCTTGGTTGCAGAGTCACAAACCATAAATATGCCTGTTTGGATATAATGTGAAAGTATCATTTAATATCTACAAAAACCACATGGAATACTGGATTGTTGTAGGTTTTTTGGGTTATCTGGACATGTTCTAAAAGCATTCTCTCCTGGCGTTTCACCTACATCTATGGCAGGCATCCTCAGAGGTTGTGAGGCCTCACAACCTCTGAAGATGCTTGCCACAGATGCAGGCGAAACGTCAGGAGAGAATGCTTTTAGAACATGGCCATATAACCCAAAAAACCTACAACAACCCAGTATTCCAGCCATGAAAGCCTCGAAAATAGCATGGAATATTGGTAGCATTTTAAACCATAGGACAGATCCAGATATTGTTGACATATATGAAGCATAATCTTAAAGAGGTTCTCTAAATTAAAGTCAGCTCACAGCGGATATGAAAAGCATGCAAATGAATCTAATCAATCACCGAAAAACCAGCAATTCAGTGCTCGGTTCCTAAGAGAATATCCTCCCTGCAGGTTCATTACAGTCGAACCTCTGACAATATTAAAATGACAACACTGAGCCACAACTCAATCACCCAACCTACCAAAATAAACAAACCATTTTCTTAGCTGTGCGTAATAGCTTTTAAATTGCCAAGTTGTCAATGGATTTGCTATTCTAATGAAGAGAAAAGAAGCTACAGAGAATGGAAATGACAGTAACTTACTTTCCAATATTTCACCATTGGAAATTGAAACACAGGTTGCACAGAAACATTTAAGTGTGGTCAAGATGGCAAACATTATTGACAAGGACAAATGCACAAGCTGAGAATGGCTGCTGCAGCTTGATTTTGCCTGAGCCAACTGGGAAGGTCAAGATTTCCTCTTCTTGTTGTTGAATTAACTGAATACAAACTACTTCTGCGCATTGAACTTAATGACGGAAGTTGGAGGAGAGACACTGGAAGTTGCAGTTTGGAGAACCACCAGCACCCTTCAGCAGAGAAGGTTAAAGACCTTGTAAAACTACAACTCCCATGAGTTATGGCAGTTAAAGCGATGCCAAGCTGTATCAATTCCACAGTGTAGATGCACCCTGACTGACAGTATGGTGGTAAAAGTGCCAACCTCATTGAGTTGTATATATAGATGTGTTGCTGGCTATGGTAACACCTTAATCTTTGCTTCAAGCAACAAAATGCCTCAGGCTAGACCAGGCATAGGCTAGACATTATTTTGGAGAGTTCCCAAAGAATCTCTATCCGTAATGATGAATTGTTGCAATGATAACAAAGTATAAATGTCTACAATCTGAATCCTAAATGATCAAGAGGCTCAATCCTCTGCAACATTTGAAAAATCTACAGTATAATATACACATCCCTGCCTACAAGTGAGAATTACAATTAAAGCAAAGGGTGGAAAAAACCCATTACAGCCTCTCTCTTGGGTGATTCTGACACCGCGAAGCAGATTTCCAGACTGAGTAATAAGAAAACAACAGTTGACTTATCTCCTCCAGGATTTCTGCAGCAGGAACTCAAGCAGGCTTTTATCATGAGCACACTAATTAACAAGATATTTTGCTAATCATCCTTTCTTTTCACAGATCGTGTTTGTTTACAGAAATGATCACACAAGTCATATTATTGCGCTATAATTCATGCCATTTCCTTTATCTGTATACCGCTTTTTAAATGCAATTAAAATCGCTTTAATTCCGCAAATTTAACAAACCATTTTAGCATAGGACTATGAATAATAAATCTTTTGAATTCTTATCAAAATGGCTTATTAAGAACCCAGAAAGTACGCAACAACAGAGCAGCTTTCTATATGGAGATTTGCTCAGAAATGAACCTATACAAGGCATATATTTAGTGTGGTTTCTAAATACTTTTGATATTCCTACTATTTATTTCTTTATTTAGAATTATTTATGTGACTCTTCAGACACAAAAGATCTCAGAGCAACTTACAAAGTGTCAATAATAATACTACACTTTATATTCCGCTCTATTTTTCTGAGGGGACTCTGAGCAGATTACAACATACATAGACAGGCAAACATTCAGTGCCTTTAATGCAGTGAAATGACAATGACACACAAATACACAGAACAAAGGTAAAGGCTTCCCCTTTCATCTTCGGCTGTTGGGAGGCGGTGCTCAACTCCGGCCATGGAGATGTGCTCCTTCTTCATTCCCAAGTTGAGAAGCCTGTTGTCTGTAGACATCTCCTGGTCGTGCTGCTGGCATGTACCTTCTACTGAAACGGTACCTACTGATCTACTTACATTTGCATGTTTTTGAGCTGCTAGGTTGGCAGGAGCTAGAGCTAACAGCGGGAGCTCACCCCAACTCATGGTATGAAGTGCCAACCTTTAGGTCAGCAGATTCAACAGTTCAATGGTTTAACCCATTGCAGCACTCTGTGTCCCCTGCCTTTAAAGCTTACAATCCAAATAAGACATGACAAATAAGGGAAATGAGTATTGGGGGCCACTGTACAATTATCTATCTATCATCTATCTATCTATCTATCTATCTATCTATCTATCTATCTATCTATCATCTATCTATCATCTATCTATCTATCCAGGCTGAATAAGACATGACAAATAAGGGAAAATGGATAGTGGGGGCCACTGTACAATATCTATCTATCTATCATCTATCTATCTATCTCAGAAACAGAAGGAGAGAAAGCAGTTATTTTAGTATGTTTGTGCCGTCGCACTTGGGGGCTATTATTCGCAATGAAGGAGGGATGGACATGGCATCTTTTCCCCAAGGGATTGCTTCTTGCTCTCCTATAGGAAACTGGGACTCTCAAAAACCCAAAACGCTGTAAATAACTCAAAATAAGTTTTACTGATCACAAAGATTCATTTCTTAAAGCAATGAGCTGGAAACTTCAGAGAGCTGAAGGAAAATATACATTACAGTCTCAATTAGTCCTGGGTCCAAGGAGTTTGAAGCTGAGAAGCCACACCAAGTTTCCTCTTTCCTCAGTGGCTGTGAATGCCGGAGCAAACCACAACCCCAGTTCAGATGGCCTATGTTTTGAAGACTCGGGATCTTCCTTTGGTGCCAAAAGAACCGGTTTGAAGGCGCCTGAGACTTCCAACATCGTTCAGGTTGGTCTGAACATGAAGCACAAGTCTCAAGGGTAAAAAACCTCAGAACCGGTGCTAAGAGGTAACTTAAATCAGGGTCTTTTAGAGTCAAGTCTCTTACTCACATCCATCTGGTACAAACTCTGATGGCAGAATGAAAAGAAAGGAAGCACTCCCCTCCTGCAGGAAGAGGTGGAGCCAAACAGTACTGATTGACAGCTATAAGTAACCAATCCATACAACTATACATAAGAAGGGTAAAAGGAGCAAGATTAAGCATGATACAGTTTAAACCTTGCAACTAACAG